GTTTTGTTTGTTGAAATCAGCAAATCTTCCACATAACCAATAACAGATAGCAAGAGCTACAGTTAGTGTACTTATGTATGACAACATGAAATTGGAATTGAAAAAAATTCATGGATCCGATGATTCTTCATGTCCACAAATAAAAGTATAATATAACATTCAGTTTGAGAAATTGGATATCATTTATGACTGTAGTAGTAGATGTCAGTACCATAATTGTCGTAGCATACTTATGGACGATAATGGGTATATCCCTATTCACATAAATACAGTAGTAAATACTGTATGTTGGTCTGCAGTTGCAGATTCATTATGGAATTCACTTGACTCACTTCTAGCAGTTGACTACTACTTCTACACGCTGCTGGCAAATCTTATATGTGTTGTTCTTGTCTTAAGTATTATTCATTATCAACCTTCATTTGATTATTCTATTCAGTAACCTTCCCTAGGTTACAACAATAATAAACCTACTAGTGGTCAGAAGTATCAAAGACCATACTGTGGCAGCATTGAACATCAGCAGAAAAGGAGAAATCCGATTGATCAATTTGGGAACCCATGTAGGTGTAATGAATGTGGGAGCATTAATCATTGGGTTAACAAATGCCTAGTCAAAGAATTTAATGAACAAAATACACCCCAAGAATATGAAGAAGGTACCTAATTCCATATAACCGAATTCCAATCTGTTTATAGTGAACCATATAATAACAACCTATCAGTCTAAGAGTCAATTTATTGCATTGGTGCTAGAAGTGTGGTGTAAAGTAAGTGACCATGATTAAATGTAAATGGCAGAAATGTCCAACAAATAGAAATGACACAGTTTGCAATAAACAATAACAAGCAAAGAAAAAAAATAATATTAAGTACGCAAACAATATATGCAAGGCAAAGCAACAGTAATAAGGCATAGCAATGGTAATATAGCAAAAAGTTCATAAACTAAGAATTAGTCTCACACTTCACAAGAATATGGTTTGTCCTGAGTCTCTGTATGAGATTGATCAATGTTGACTTCTCTGAAAATGCAGAGCTACAAACTTCACAAGAATATGGTTTCTCTCCAGTGAGCATTCACATATGGCACACCAAATGTGACTTCTATGAAAATGCAGATCAACAAACTTCACAGGAATATGGTTTTTCTCCATTGTGTATATGGCTATGTATCACCAAATTTTACTTCAGTCAAAATGCAAATCCACAAACATCACAAGAAAGTAGCTTTCTCTCCAATGTGTTTGCATATGATGTGCCAAATATGAATTCACTGAAAATGCAGATCACAAGAATATGATTTCTCTCCAAGGTGTGTTTCCATACAGCAAAATAGATTTGACTTCAGAGGATGATTTTTTCTGTTACTGATATGAGAGTTCACTGTGTTGAAAATATAGATACATAACTTTTACATGAATATTGCAGCATATTTTTTTCTGTTCTTGATGGAAAGTCAAAATTCTTCTTTTCTTTCATTGAAATTCCCATCAGTTCTTATGTATATGATAATATTCTGTACAACCAAAACATCTGTGAAGAAGTAATAAAGCATATTAGCAGAGACAATGAATAATATATGAAATCAGTTCTTATTTTTAGATACACTTGTTGCAGACACGGCCTTGTGCCAGACACCACACTAAACTACTGAGTCCACAAACAATGTATAAAAAAAATGCGTGAATGAACAGTGAGAGGAAAGGGGTCAATCAACGAGTGCATAAATTATAAACATCAAAGAGATAGCCGGAATAAAATGACAAAGGCGTCTGGATGCAAAACATGTGTAATTTTTTATTAAATGGAAAAAACAAGTAGGTATCTCGTGGTACGAGATCAAAGAAAATATTCCGCGCCAAAATTGGAAAGCAAGATGAATAAGGCGGGAAAAGGGTTTTATAAGGTTCTGGAAAAAGGGTACTCGTTAACACGAGGTGTATGTGCGCACAGATAGAAAGGAGTACTCACTGTGGATTTTTGGCGTTGAGAGTGTATGTGATTTTTGTGTTTTTTTTTTTTATCTTTTTTTTATGTTCAGGTTCAAAGTAGAGAGAAAGTTCAGTCGTCTCGGAGTTTGGTCAGGCCTTGAATTAACTGTTGAAAATTTTAACGGATTGCTGTGGACGTCTAGCCAAAAGGACGAAGAAAGTTGGGACGATAAGTCTGTATTTAAGGTTGATTTGCACTTGTTGAATACGAATTTTGCACTGTGCAGAAAAACGGTGTCTCACATTTTCTGAAAACGGAGAAGGTGACCTGCGGGTTTGTTCGTCAATAAGATATCTCTGTCTGTATTTAAGATTGACTGACGAGGGATAAAAATAAGCCACTTGTTGAATATGAAGTTTTGCTCACGACTGTGTCGTGTGTCTCGAACGTCTTCTGGTCGAAAACGGAGAAGGTCTGACCTGCGGGCAGCTTCAAGACGAGAAGAAATCTTGGTACAGTGTGAGGTCGACATTGTTAAAATATTCCGGCCCGCATATGGGTTAAGGGCACGGAATAAATGAGTTGCCCGTCTAGTTAGGTCGAAAGTCGGGAGGCAACTGGCTTGCAAACGCTGTTCGTTTGAGACGCCAAGAAACGCGCGGGAAAAAATTCAAAATCTGTTAGGCTGACTTCATCAGTAGGAGCTAGCGAGCTTCTCACTAGTTAAGGACGTTTACTGCTACGTCTAACTGTAAAAGGGAGGAAGGGGTGCAAACCGCGTGCACACACGCAAGAGTGTGAAAGGAAGGGAGGAAAACTCGCGCGCGCGTAAAATGTAGATGGAATTAATGTGTTAATTCCATACATTTAACTATATATCAAGGCTAGTTGAGATCATCACAGACAATGATGCAGAAAGCCAGTGTGTTTTCACATATGACATTGCAAATGTAACCTAACATAAAAGCAAATCCACAGATTTCACAAAGATATGATTTCTGTCCACTGTATGTTCATATGTAGCACATTAGTGAAAAAAATACAGAACCATAAACTTCACAATAACATGGTTTGTATTCTGTGTTTGTGTAAGGCATAACAAATTCTGAGAATCAGAATATGGTTTTGCTCCAGTGTGTTTCCATATAGCACACTAAATCTAAATCATTTCAAAGATTTGCCAAGAATATGGCTTCTTTCTCTAATTTTCAGTAAATGATGCAAATTAAAACATTTTGTCTTATAATTTATGTCCCACAGTATTATTTATTTATCTAATTTTTGTTTTTATTAATTATAATCTAACAAATTCTCCAACAAATCCTATTCATTTTTTGTAATCTTTTACAAGTTTTTTTACAGTTTCTGGTTTGAATCCATTTTCCATTCAATGTATCTAATGCAAAACATATCAACTTTATTTGGATTTATTCTTGAAATAGTAAAACTTTGAAGTCAGTTTGTAAGCAAAAACCTGTATAAAAGCTGGTGTTAGTAGTTATCACTTCAAACCCCAGCTTTCATACAGAGTGTAATTTTGATTTTCTAAAAAAAAGTGAAAAACTCAACCTGCCTTAATGGGCAGTTTCTCTCTTCTAACAGAGACAGGGAGGTAAGGTTCACATTTTGTACAAGGGATGCATGTACACACAAATACATACACTGATGGAAACTGACATCTAATGTCAAATATGAGAGATATGAGTCTTGTGTTGTCATTGGTCATAACACTAAGTTCAGTAAAGTTGTCATACTTGGAATTTAAAAAATGGAAGATAAAGTAAAATATTATATAATTATTTACAAGACTAGATAGAAGATGCAATATTTTGTGATTGTTTATTTCAAACCAAGCTTTACTGGTTCAGAAAATCCCCCACTGTCTAGTACTAAGCTTGCTGGATAAGAGTTTAAATCTCTACACACATACTGACCAATGAAAACTGCCAAAGTTTAGAGTTGAATAAAACATAATGTAAAATATAAGAGATTAATTCCTTGGCCAGGCCATATGTATTTGGTTTCAGTGGAAACCGATAAGCAATAACTGAGTAGCAATAAAAATAAGAACTAAATATCTCTAGCAGTGGAACAAGAACAGTTTACCCTCAAAGATTAAATAAAGTGTTTAGTTCAGAATTCTCTGTAGGTTATCCAGATTGATAGACACATGATGGGGGCTTGAGGACACAATATCCGAAACATTATGATAACAACAAGGTTAGGATAATAGACTGAATATAAATAATAACTCCTCAACCGAGAAATGAGAGATTAAATCACATTATTGTTATTCATGGCACCAAATCCATTATAGGTACCTTTTTTTTTACTGTTAGTTTACCCAATACAAGGCCCAACATCCACTCAGAGTAGAGAGTTCCTGAGTTTATAGTGACCCACAGATGGGGTCAGGAAATTCATAATAAAGAAAACAGGCAAAATATTGGCACCAAAAGCTGAGTTACAACAAAGACAGTTCTTAATAAAAAGGCCAAAGTTTTATTATTAGCAAACATTCAACAACTCAATTACAATTATGTAGATTTGTAAGAACTGAAAAGAGGGAAATAGTAAAAACATGTAGAAATGTTCCAAAGTGTGGATATGCAAATGTGGTTAATTTAGTAGTCCAGAAAAAGGAACATGGTAACCACTCGCAAGTGGTAAGTTTTTGGAATGTTCTTGTGTTGTGATCTTTGATAAAAGAAGTTAAACTCAAAGGTAATCACTTGAATGAAGTTACTTGGGAATCCAAAAATGGTGGCATGCTGAAAAAGTTGTTGCATGTGACATGACATGACATAAATCCAGAAATTTGGTGGGAAACCAAATGGAGATGTCATGATGCTAGATTGAATTCAAAATGGCAATATGCCTATGACAAAGGTGCCAAACTGGGGCAGTTGCTAGATAACCAAAACATGACAGCGTGATGGTGTTTCTAAGAAAGAATTTTGGGAGAATTAGCATGCAAAAACAATGAATAAAGCAACAAGAAAGAATTCAAACAAAGCAGGGACTGGGTTTGCTCAATAGAGTTGAAACAGGATAACTCAACCAACCAACTCTGGAACAGAAAACAAAGAAAAAGAAAGGAAAAGCAGGTTCACTGCATCTTCCTGAGAGAGTGGGTAGGCAGAGAAGAGAAAGAAATGCAGTGTCTGCATCTTTCCAAGAAGGAAGAAGTGAAAAGAGGAAAGAAAGCCAAAAAATGAACAAAAAAAAGAAGGATGATTTCAACACCAAAAGGTGGAAATCCTTTCTACTTCCTTCAGGCAACTCTTCTAGTCAGGGGGGGGGGAGCCATCATATCTGTCATAGCAACAAGATCAGCAGCTAACCCCTGGTGGAGAAGAAGAGAGCATGCAGAAATCCAAAATGTTTATTCAAATGTGATCCATCGATGCAGATATTAAATGGAGTTTATTTAGCAACTTGACTATTGATGGGTTGTCAAATTTGTTTTTTTGTATTGTTAGAACTGATAATGAATCAGAAAAGATTATAAATTTTTTGTTTTTATTTATTGAAATAATGCTGAACATTAGATCTATGCCACAGGCTTCAACATTGAAGATGGAAGTTTCGTCTAAGAAGTGTTTACTGCTTATTTTCTTCTGAGATATTGCTGCACATCCTGTTATATTTGCATGTTTGGACCCATCTGCAAAGATGGGTGTGTGATTAGGATAGTTTTCTTTGATTTTATCCTGAAAGTTAAGAAGATCCATATTTGATTTTTGGAATTTCCATGAGTCCAACATTATTTTTGGAGATCATATGGTCCAGAGAGCAATGTTAGGAGTGATATTATCATGGATTGTTGTCAGTTGTATTTTAGATTCCTCAATAAGGGGTTCCATTTGAAGTCCAAATGTTTTTATAGTTTTTTTCTTTTTTATTGATAGAGGTTTCTGTGTTAAAGGAGGAAAGTATTTTTGTAGGAAGGGTCATTAGATGAAGAGGATTTTAGTTTTGTATAATACTGTAGCACCAGTTTTTCAAATCTAAGATTAGGAGGAGTTTCATCAGCTTCTGCATATAAACTTTCAGCTAAATAATTAAGGAAGACAAACTTGTAGGTAAGTAATGAAATAGAATGTTTTACTACATGAAGGTACAATTATAAATTGACTGAATGCTAACTCTCCTCAACTCCACTTATTTATATGAATTGACAGGTGTTTATTCTGTAACATACAGAATTGTGGCATTTATATGAATGGACGATTCCATTCATTTATACCCTATATGACATCTCTCCCTTGGGAGTCATACCTTTTACATTTAGGGTTTATCTCTAACCTATCTTGGAGGCTGCCATTTTCTTTTCATGGATATTTTTTCATATATGCAGAACTAAATTTTTTTTCCAGTTCTGAAGAATCTGTTACAATTACCCGATCTGGTTTCATTTTTTCAGTTTTCTTTGTATTTGGCAGCAATTTGTCAAAAACAGACCTTATCTTCCATAAGTTCTGTGAGAGACATCCCAAGAAACTGCGTTCATGTTTGAAGGTTACCCAATATACTTGCAAAAATTGCTGTATTGCTGCTTCTGTTATACCACCATCGACCTTTTTGAAAGTGTCTAAAAACCTTTCCACCATTCTATTACTTCTTGTGTGGTAGGGAGCAATTTTTACATACTCTACTGCAAAAACTTTGCAAAATTTCTGGAAGTCTTTCAATGTGAATTGGCTTCTATGATCTGATACAATGCAATCAACCACATTATAGCGGTTGCTATGTTTTTCACTCCCACATACACTCCAAGTCATTTCATTTGCCTACAATTAGCTAATAAATTACTACTACCTTTGTATAGGACAATTTAGCTATCACAGTCATTCCTTTGAATCTTTTGGTTCTGAGCATACTTACCTATTCTGTTTAATATGTATGTAGTGATTGGTTAATTTTTAACCAATCACATATTTTTAATGTAAGATCAAGTTTTCCTACAGTTCTGTAGGAGCCTACCTCTTTTCCTTCAATAGGGCGAATTTCACCAGTAAGATCCCAGCTGTCAATACAAATCCACGATCACACACAGACACAGAATTTCGTAAGTACAAACTTACATTTTCTCTCTGCAACTTTCGCCAAGTACAATCAACCAGAACTTTGTTGATTCAAACCAGTTTATTCACAACACATTTCGAGCAATTGTATTCTTGGTGTTATTCATTCTTCAGATGCGAACTTTGCTCTAACAATTATTTTGGAACATTTATCTCACAAGAATCATTAATATAAATAGTAGTCGTACCTATATATTTGGTGTTCCTGCTACATTTAGTGAATCGACCCGACGCTATATTTGGCACATATGCTACAACATCAAGCTTGGCAAAAAGTTCATGTATCAGTGGTCGGTATCTTGCATTTTGAGATTTCTGGCCATGACAATGAAGTAATACACCACATTCACTGGTCCAGCAAAATCAACATGTATACATGACCATGGTGTGTCAATTTTTGAACATGGATTTTAACAGGTTGTGATTTCGCTGCTAAAGCACACACTGTACACAAGTTTACCATTTCTTTATCCATGTCTTTATCCATGTTAACCAAATATATGTAACTTCATCCTGGAGATTCCTGGATGATCTCTGTAGAATTCTTTTAAAATCCTTTTTTGCACCACGACTGCATCATACATCAGCACTTCATTACAGATAGAAAATACAATATCCATTTTAGTTTTATCTTTTAATTTTTATTTTCTTTCCTTGATGAATATATTGTTAAGTGCATTTGCCTTTATTTCCTTCAGTGTTACTGGCAGATCACATATCATTTCATATAAGACAAGATATTTTTAACTTTGTTCTCCGCTTACAAAGCCACAATTATCATATCTTTGAGAGGTTCACAGAATTTAGAAATCAATCTTGATAGGCCATCAGTGTGACCTATTTTCCTTCTCACTTTGACTATAGTTCTTTTCTGCTGGAAGCATGAGCTATCACTTTTAATGATCCATTCTCATTTTTATGCAAAATAGTTGCTTTGATACCGAACAAACTGGCATTACTAGCTATGATTATTTCGTGTTTAGGATCAAAATGCATCAAAAACAAGTCTGATATCAATGTCTTATTTTTTCGAATGATTTTTAACATTGGTTCGTCCCAATCCATCTCTCGTCTTTCTTTAGTAGGTCATTCAATAGTTTTCACAAAAAATGCATATTAAGGACAAACACATAATAATTGGCTAAGCCCCGAAAAGCTTGCAGAGAACTTTTATTTTCTGGAGTGGACATATTTTTAATAGCACTTGCTCTGGCTGGGCCTGGCTTCCTACCATTCTCATCCATGATCTGACCCAAATATTTTTTGTCAAAAAAAAAAAAAAAAAAAAAAAAAATTCTCATTTTTTACGTTTCAATTTAAATCCATATTCACTTGTTTGAATACTTTCAATATGTGCTGTGTTTTTATTTTTACTTTTTATCAAAATGTTGTCCAAATAAGCAGTAACAAATTCAAGTTCAGAACATGGTGTCCATTATTTTGTGGGGGATAGGTGTATTTAATTAATGTTGGTTATCAATTGTAGATTGAATAAGGCTTCATGTTAAACTTAACTATCCTCACACATTTAAATTTGTTCTTCAACAAAATGCAAAACAATAGACATGAATGAAAAATAATACAAAAAAAGTTTTTGAATAACAAACAATATTTTGATTTCTATAGCATAAAAGATACAATGCATTATGATTATATGCTGAAATGAGTAAAGATTTGTGAGTGAAATCTTTGTGATGTTTGTTATTTTAATTATCTGTGTAAACTCTTATTTTGGTGTTTGGAGTTATGGTATGTGAGTTTACTTGAAGAAATATTTGTTGTAATTGTGGTGATTAAGTTTCACAGTGAAAGAATAATACTGTTTATGAGGTAATTAAACAGTGTTTGTGAAATATAAATTTCCAGTGTAAATTGGAAAAAACTTAATTGTTTTAAAGTTGTCTTTCTTTGAACGTAATATTGTCAAGAATTAATAATAAATGTGTAGACAAATTCTGGATGAAACAATATTCTGTAATTGAGGACTTTTGCTGTGTGATAAATAAAAACACTTTCCCTCAAAATTCAATCTTTGTCCAGTCACGCTATACGTAGATTTCTTTGTCCAAAATGAAGTTGCTTTACTGATTTTCCCCAGTGTATTTGTTAATTATACTCACATCGGCTCCAGTGTCAAGTTGAAATTTAATATTTTTGTTAAGCATTTTTACTTGCACATATTTTCTTGTCCATTCCATTTTTTTTTGTACTATTCACTGAACTTTTTACTTTTAAAATTTTCCTTTGCAATGTGAACTTTTGTGACCAATTTTATCACATCTGAAACATTTTTGTAGGGAAAATCCCTTCTAAAATGTAACTCTCCACATGCAAAGCAGGGATTAGGGGTTGAAAGCTGTTTTTTTTCTCATATGGTTTTTGACAAAGATGTTGAATGTGCATGAAAACTTACCTTCGTTAGTCCAGGAATGGGGGTGACAGGATACCCTAAAGAAGACAAAACGTCTGCCTCCCATGACAACTGAGCTTCAACAGTGCCACACCATGTACTACACACCCTCACTGAGTCTGGAGATTAGTGGGAGGGAGCAAAAGAAACTGCCAACTAGAAATTACAGGTACTTTAAAAGTTTTGGAGTAACAAAACATACTATGTGACTAATACAGGGTTAAACATTCCCTCACAAAATGCAACACTATTGTCAGTAAGTATCTCAGTAGGTGACTCTCACTTGTAGAATACTGAATCTAGTTGCCAAATGATGCTGGTCTCCAAGGTAGACAATTTGGGCCACAGCCTGTCAGAGTGAAATAATTCTTCCCACCATAATGGGTTATACACCTCCTCACTCTGCTCCAACTATCTTACACATCTAGCCTTCCCAATTTCTAGTGCACCAATGCTGGGTCAATGGAATAACATGCCACACACTCTCTGATCACTGCCCTGACTGCTTTTTTGTTTTTGTCACTGCAGATTTAATCTGTCTCACAAAATACAAAGTTCACTTCACACTGAGGTGCCCACTTTACTGATGGTTGGTCATCATGACGAAACTTAGTATGTCTACACTAGGCTGGTACGTACTACCTCCCGAACTGGTTTCTAATTTGTATAAAGA